TTATCTGTGTAGTTATCAATTTGATATACAATTAAATTCATTTTGTTACATTTTATCTTTTCACTTATTCACATGTTTCCTAGAGTAAACTATATTAAAAAATATACTCAGAAAAGTCTCACTCCTATCTTATCTCTTCCCCCCAATTCTTACCCATCCTTTATCAGATACTAGTTTCCCCTTGTTTCTTACAAAAAAGTTGCATACTACACCTTGCAATAAAGGCAAACTTAAAAAAAATTTAACACCCAAAATTACTAAATCCACAAAGCATATTTCAAAGAATTCTATATCTTATTTACACACCCAAGGGTAGTATAAGCAAGATGTTATAAGATGAAATACATACTTATGTAAGTATCTCTTGGTAAACGTTATAACAAATTTCATAAATCTAAAAGCAAAGTCTTTCTTCAAGAATCAAAAAGTATGGAAAATACACCCTGGCCAGCATGGCTCAGTTGGTTGGATCATTATCCCATAACTGGAAGGTTGTGGGTTTGATTCCAATTCAGGGCACATACCTAGGCTGCAGGTCTGAAACCTGGTCCGGGTGGGTGCACGTGAAACTTGGTCTGGACACATAAGATCCCCAGTCCAGGCATGTACGGGAGGCAATTGACCCTTGCTTCTTGTTCACATTGATGTTTCCCCTCTCTCCATTCCTCTCATTCTAAAAGCAGTGGGAAAAAAAAATGTCCTCAGGTAAGGATTTGAAAAAAAGTATGGGAAATATGGATTCAGTAGAGGAGATGACAACGATGCTGAAAAGACCAAAAAAATCTAGACTTTGTGTAATAGGATTTTATTTTTTAAACAACAAAGGTTTTTGTTGACTGCAAGTTTCATATGTACCAATAATTAAGTGTGGTCACTTACATGGTTTTTGATTATATTAACAAAAGCCCAGTTCCTAGGTCATTGCAATCAGAGATTCTATTCTTTGTTGGTTGGACCAAATCTGGAACAGTGTTCAATTCATGGGACCACTTTTTAACAGGAACATTGAGAAGAGTATACAGAAAGAAAAGGAACTGCTTTGAGGAGAAAACTAAAAGATACAGAACTTCCTCCAAATATTTGAAAACAATTACTTAGAATAAGCTCATCCTATGTTCCTCTAAAAGGCAAAACTCAGACCAGAATATAGATATCATAAGAAGGGGATTTCAATCCAACTGAAAAAAATAATTACAGTTTGATGTACAGTATTAATGAAGTTCCTAACACTAAAGGATTTTGATAGAGTCTGCAACTCCACAGAGGAGATTCTAAGTGTCTCTCCGCAGGAAGGATGTGCTGAATCAACTCTATGGTTCAATTTTCTATTCACACCTGAATAGCTTCTGAGAGTAGACATCTATTCAGTAAAACAGGATGTGTTATTTGTAATGATGGCCTTGATTCATAAATAAAATGTTAAGCTGTTATTAGCTATACATCATTGAACATGGTAGGAGATGTGGACACTTCCCAGAGTCTGCTTACTTGTTTTTCAGTCACCAACCAAATTACTGTGGAATCAGACATAGCTGGGTAAGTCTGGCTGATGGGTAGAACTATCCAGTGTCTACTGGAGTGCAGGATTCAAGATGGGAACTCCAGTTGGAAGTACTCATCTCCAGGGAAGAGGGGGTCAGACATACCAGCAAGACTTGTTAACAGTCTCAATCATCGGCTGGAGCAATGTTCTGAACAGCGCTTCTCACCTAGATTTGTTTTCCAGCTTCCTGTAAATACGTGAATGCCTTAGGGGTAAAGTGGAATGTAAGCAAAACCTAAAAGAACTGTGACTAAAATGCCTGTTAGACTTTAGAATGGAAGATAATGCTGCTTTGGTGCCCATAGGACATACTATAACACAAAGGTAGGTGTTCTTTCTCTTTCTGTTCAGAACACAAACTGGCTTGGCTCCAAAAACACAGGGCCACTGTTCTGTGTAGAGGGTTCCAGTACCTCACTTCTGCTTAAAGCAGCACAGTGATCTGTGGGGGGAGGGGGTGAGTGCCCCAAAGGAGTTAGGGTGTGTCCAATGGTCAAAGACCTGCATTTATTTCTGCATGCAGTGGGGCTTCAGAAGCTAAAGAAAGAAGGTGAGGGCTTCTTCTTCGCATATTGGAATGTCTTGGTCATTTCCAGTAATAAAAAGGGGAGAATTTGAGTGTAGAGTCCCCTCTGGAGAAGATGACAATAAGTAGCCATTTCTACAAAATAGCCAGTTCATGATTCTAAACACGAGCTGTCTGTAAATTAAACATACCTATAAATTCTTTGACACTTTTTCCATTGAGAGGTAGAATCCAAATCCCCTGTCCTTGAAGGTGGGCTGGATTCTGTGACTTACCTGTATCCAATAAAATGCAGCAGAAGTGATGCTGTGTGACTTTGGAGGCCAGGTGATACAATGCAATATGGCTTTCATCTTGCTTATAGGAACACCAGCATTTGGAGCCCTTGGCCAAACTGCAAGAAGTCTGACTACCCTGAAGCAAACATGCCATGAGGAAGCTCAAGGCACATGATGAGAGCATGTTTAGGTATTTCTGGCTGACTGCCCCAGCTGAGGTCCCAGCCTGAACCACCAGACACGTGTGGAAATATGCCTCCAGGTGATTCCAGTCCCAGCCTATTGAGACAGTGCCCCCCCAGGCACTGAGCCTTCCCAGATGAGCTCCCAGACCTCGTGGAGCATAGACCGTCTATCTCCTTTGTGCCTTGTCTGAGTTCTAACTCAGAGGGTAACTTCATATTGTGTAAAGGACGAAACTATATTTTATCCTCACAATGATAGGTAGGTTGGACTGGTATTATTACTACCAACCTCTCTATACATTAAAACAACAACAACAACAACAACAACAACAACAACAAAACCCCAGGGATTTCAGCTTACCTGCTTTGAGATTATATAGCCAAAAACGTGGCAAGCTAACTAAAATCGTAATCATTGAACTTCAAAATGTATGCTTTCTTTATATTTTCCTATCTGAATACTGTGGGCTTTAGAATGGTCTCAGGAAATCAAATAAAATATACCCAGAATTTGAAAACAAGGTCAGAAAGTGTTGAATAAATGGAAGCTAACAAGAAACAATATTAAATAAATCGTATCAGCCATTCTGTGAATAACAATACAGATTGTTGCTGGAAAGGAAAGCTATAATTTAAAATGGAACTAATGAAAATATAATCTTAGGATTTTTAACATTATGTGGCAGTGTTTTAATGATGTAATATTTTCAGAGGATGATTTTTAAAAATGAAATAAGACTGTGAGAGAATTTAAAAACCTGCCAGTTATATTCCTGATGACATCAAGGGGAAAACGTGCCCTGACTGGCTGATGGTGCTACTCTAGTCTGCTTAGAAGTATGTCCTTAGAGTAAAGATGGGCACTTTAGACTATTGCTTGATGACATTACCCCTTATGATTATCTTCATTTATTCTACTTTTCCAAGCTGCCTTTTAATTTAAATTTAGTTCCTCAAGGAGATATTCCTACTTGAAAAAGAAAAGTGCAACGACAGTAACTAAGCATACCATGCTCATTTGATAGCTTGCATTCTGTATATTTCGACATAGAGGGATATGAGTATTCTGATCAACCCATCAGTCTCACACACTACTTACCTTGGGAGCAAGGGTCAGCTCCTGGGCTCATGATGGCTCTGAGCAACAGTCAGGCACCCTGCTTCAGGTGTCAGTAGGACAGCTTCCTGTCTCTTGAATCATCCTCAGGACAATAAGGAGGTCATCGGTGACTTCCCATTCATGGAAAGTACAAAAATGCAGAGTCCACTCAGGGCTTCTCATGACTTGATGTGTAGGTTCATTTGGTGATTAACTTCCTACCATCTAGGAGCTCACAGTAACTTCCACTATGTTTGCCGCTCCTATTTCTCCATTTCTTAAATAGTCCCCCCCGGCCGAAATATTCCCCCTTTCCTTTAAAATAAATGTATTTTTAATTATGAACTGGGTTCCTTTCATTCCATTCTGTCACTGGGCCTCTCAAAAGGATTTTACCTCTCCTTTCTTAATGGTTTTTATGCATATTTTGCACAGAGAATGCTTTGGAATGTTCTGCTTATGAAAGGCGCAAAAGTATTTAAAATATTTTGAATGGTTTTCTTGAAAACAAAAACGATCAGTTTTGATGTTTCAGATGTCTAGAATGTTCTGTGCTTTCTGCAGGTCCTAGTACATGGAAAGTGCCCCATCACTGACATTTGTTCAAAGAATGAAAGAACCTGGAAAACGAAAAATATTCTAAAAGGAAACATTTTATTCCTCAACGATGGCGGGGGGGGGGGGAGCGGGAGGGGGACGTCTATATTTCCTTTTAGACCCAACTTTAATAGTCCAAATCCTTTCATGAAAAGGATACAAGCATCATTCTGATAATTTGGCTGTTCTTAAAATATATTTCTATCAAATTCTACTCAGCTGTTTCAACCTAGGGGTTTCAAGTCTTATTTTTATGACAGAGACGTTCGTTGTAAAGAAAATAACAGAAGTGGCTTGGGCTTCCCCGTCCTCCCTCCAAGATTTCAACTTCTCCTCGAACACCAGCCCTGCTAGTGAGTCCTACGTTACAGAACAGGCTCAGGACCGCGACGAGAATAAAGTAGGAAACCCAAGCCATGGAAACGCTGGACGAAGACTGGTGAGCGCCACCGTGGGCAGGACGCGAAGGAAGCCTCCTCAGGGGAGGGCGCGAGGGCGCTCCTAGGATTACGTCACGCATCCCGGATGACGTCACGACCGTGACACGCGAGTGACGCCGTTGCCGCGGCGACTTCTAGTGGTCTCCGCCCCCTTCCCCCGCCCCCCGCCTCGCGTCCTTCCCCCAATCCCCTCAGGCTCGGCTGCGCCGGGGGCCGCGGGCCGGTTCCGGAGGTGGCCCAGGCGCCCCCGACCTCGCCGCCGGCGCCGCCCCGGCCGTCCCTGCCCGCCGCCCCCCGCCCTCCGCCTCCGCCTGCCCCCGCCCTCCGCCGCCCTGCCCCCTCCCCGCCCAGCAGCGGTCGCTCGGGCCCCGGCTCTCGGTTATAAGATGGCGGCGCTGAGCGGCGACGGCGGCGCGGAGCAGGGCCAGGCTCTGTTCAACGGGGACATGGAGCCCGAGGCCGGCGCGGGCGCCGCGGCCTCTTCCGCGGCGGACCCCGCCATCCCCGAGGAGGTGAGTGCCGGCGCCCCCTGCCCCCCTCCTGTCTCCGTGCTCGGCTGACCAGTGTTTATTTTGTGGAAAGAGGTGGCGCTGGGAGCTCGGATGCCCTCAGCCACCTTCTCCTTTGGGCTCTGCGGGTGGGAGAGGGGCATCCCCTCCTTGTCCCTCTCCGTCATGCAGCTCCTCGCTACGTAAACACACACCGCGGCTCAGGGGGGGTTTCCCTGGCCCGCACCCCGGCTTGGGGAAGCCGGGCAGCGGCGGCGGAGCTGGAGGCTGTCCATAGGGGGCGAGCCTCAGCGCTGGTCCTAGAAGGTCACGGCTGGCTGAAGGGAGGCAGGCTCGCATCTCTGAGATGCTTTCGTTATTTCGGGTCGGGGGCAGTGGAGGGAGGGGGCGGCATCCAGGTGGAAGATGTGGGGCCGGGGCCGGCGCCGGCATCGGCTTCGGCATCCGAGCCCGAGTTACCGTGGTGTCTGTAATGATGACAGTGGTCATGAGGATGGATGATGGGGCGCATCCTTCTCTCTCTACTCTCCCTGACTGTCCTCTTTTTCAGGCCGCTGGCCTCTTTTCTACTTTTCTACTTGTTTGGGGATTCCTCTTCACCTGTTTTACCCAGCGGGCGGTTTTGCTTTAGTCTTGACTTTTTCAATCCCAAACCCCACTGTTTTCCGCTCTCCCTTCCATCCCGGTCTCAATGCCCAGTCCCCCCTCCCCGCCGCGGTTCCTAATGTTTGTCCGCTCTCTGTCGCCCGGTACCTTTCCCATTGCCGGCCTGCCTGCCCTCTGACCTCAGCTTCTACCTAAGACCATTCTTGCACCTCTCTTACCCCTAGTCCGCTTGAGGCCCTCGACCTCATTCCACCGCTCGCAGACATTGTTATCTGTTGTTATCTCCGCAAATCCTTCTGGGCGCTTTGGAACTGCTTGCTTTCTGAATCCTGAAGCTGTCAAGGTTCCATTACGTTTCCTGTGCACGACTGGCACTTTCGGTCGGTCTTCCATTGTCCCTTCACACCTCTTTATTTGCCCATTTAAAAAAAGGGGGAGGTTTGGTTGCTTTCTTTCTGTTGTCCTTTTTGTCTCAGTTTACTTCTTTCATTTTTTAGCCCTTGCTTCTCTCAGCCTGTTTTTACATTATTCAGCCTCTTATCATCTTGTCAAACTACTTTATTTACGTTGTGTTTTCTATTCCGTAAAATTTATTTCATCGAGTATTTGGCTTTTTATTACATAAAATAATACACTTCACTATCCTTCACAAAGTATGCGATAACTTACGGTATAACAACTGTGCTTTACAGTTATTTAGGTAACATGACTGACTTTGTTGACTTTGCTCAAAGTTCTCTTTCCTTCCCACTAGTTACATTTTGTTTCCCAACTCCTGTAACTCTCATTCTTTCTTCTGTCTATGCAATTTCTTTTTCCTGGTTCATCATCTTTACTCTGGAAATTCATCTGCTGTGCTTGTTCTATTCAGTATCGTTTCATAATATTTGTTTTTCATCCTCGTATGCCACTTCCATCTGTCCCCATAATGTGTCCTGTACCATCAGTTGATCAACTTTAAATTTTCTCTTATTTTTTTTCTTCCTTAACAAAATTACACTATTTTCTACTTTATAGTTTGCATTTTTGCTCAGATTGGTTTTCTCTAATATCTGTTCATTTTTCCCAACTTCTTGGATTCTGAGGATAGAGTTCTTCCCTTCTTCCATTTCCTAGTTTATTACGTTTTTCTTGTCCCTAGCTGCCATTCATTCTGTCTTGTTTCCTGGCTTTTGGTACTAAACTTGCTGAAGCTTCCTCTTGTCTTCCCCACACCTCCACATTCCTTCTTATTTATAAACAGCTTTGTTCCGTTGACATGGAAATTTATTTTTAGGATACATTGTTTTTGATGGATAAATACTAGGGGTCACATCTGCTGTCTATTTTTTCCGTGAATCGGATATGCCTTTGTCTTAACAGGCACAGGTGCCTCTAGGCTTGCTTTACTCTGTGGTGCATGTATGCTTTTGTTGAATTGTATCTAGAAGAATAGGTAAATTAGTGGGTGTGGGTTATGAAATTGTGATTTTCTGATAGCATTGTTTACATTGAGAATTTTGTTTCAGAGTTATTAGGAGTGTTTGCAGTAATATAGAGACGGCTTTTGTAAAGTAGAATCTCTGCTATCTTATTTGAAGGGCCAGATTGTTTGAACTCCACCCTCTGAGGATTCTGATTAGGTGAGAGCTAGAGTCTGGGCTTCTGCGTTCGACACACTTCTAGGCAGTTCTCGCATGTCAGTGCTTGAGAACCTCTAGGCTAGGTGCATTTAAGCTTAAATTGACAATAACTGGAAAGCATATCTGAATTTCCCGAAACCATAAGTATACTTTAATTTTAGTTAGAAGTGTTTCCCACTGCCTCCCCCCGCCCAGGTTTTAATATTTAGTAATGAATAGTAGTTTTTCCTTTATATTTTTTTAATAGGAGCTGATAATGAATTTGATGGGGAGGAGGAATAAGTGATTAAAAATGGATCTCTTTTTAATACAAATTTCAATGACATGGATAGTAGAATAAATTTCTCCAAGAAATAATTTTAAATTTGATGTTGGTATTAATTCAGTGGAAACTGAAATGTGCTATTGTCTTTTGAGCTGTCTTCCTTATATGCATGTAAAGAGATATCTTATAATTCCTCATGCATAGGAAGAAATGAAAAATTGTGCATGTGTAAAATGATACGTTTTATTCTAAAGACTTACCTTACTGACAGTAAAATAAAAGTTTAAAAAAATGTTTCTTAGGGAAGTTTCAGCTTCACTAAAAAATTTCTAATTACAGAGGGAAAGCACATTTATTATTGAAAAATTAGAAATGTAAGTACAAAAATTAAAAAAATCATCTGTAATCTTGCTACTAAGGTATAATTACATAAAACAATTTGATGTACATATATCCATACACTCTTTTTTATACTTGTATAATACAGTATATGTGGTTTTGTAATACTTTTAACTTAACAATATAACCAAATATTTTACCTACTAGTAGATACTGTACTTTTTAAACTAAACTTTTTTTAATAATAAGTTGTTTCTAATTTTTTTACTTTTGTTATCTAACATCTTAAACATAAAATTATGTTGAAAATTGAACAAATTGCATGTACTATATTTGTAAGTATTACTTTATAGATGCTCAAAATAGAATATTCTGGTAAATTACAGGAGGTTATTAAATATTTATCAAATGAATGTGCTTACACTTTTGGCATTAAACATTTACTTCTGCACATTTATATTCCCCTGATGTTACTTTCTGTCTTTCTATGACCATATGGTATAGTATGGGACAATATGACCATATGGTATAATAAATACATTGAAAAAATGTGTTGTAACAGGGTATGGTATTTATTAACTATTCTCGTGCTATGCATCTGTAGAAGGGCTTGCAGTCACATTACAGTTGTATCGTTTTTAAGATCTCTTACTGCCAATCTTAGTTAAGCTGTGTAATTATAATAATGCATTGACTAAGCAGTATTCTGGGATGGAATCTCCTCCATAACGAAGTCCACTCTATTAAAACACATTTTTATGAACCAGGCCAAATCAGGGTGGATTACATCATAGTCTCAGTAAGTGGAAGTCCCAGTAAGGTACGTGCCTCTGCAGTTCTGCCTGTTGCTGTTAATACTTGTCTGGATATATTCAAAGGTGGACAAAACATGCCTGTTAGGCACAACTATAGAATAGTTATGTGTCTTTGGTGTTTCTAGTGTTCCCTTTCTGTGCTCTTTCTCTTCATTTAATGAGCTTCCTCCTTTAGTCATCCACTCACCTCTTCTGATATCAGTCACTTATATATGTTGGTAATTAAAGGAATTGATTGTTAGTAAACAGATAAGAAAGGAACTCTGGGACTGCATGTAGTAAACCTGAGTGCAAACTTGATTTTGTTGTATTTAGATAATAGGCTAGAAAAATTATATTAGGATAATGGACTAGAGAAGTCTGACTTTTCTTAATTCTCTGTCCCTTGCTTTCCTGATTAGAATGAATTAGGATCCCGTCATAACAACTGGAAACCTATGTTCTATGAATAGTAGGGCAGAGAAGGAGGGAAGCAGGTTATGCTTTCTTTTTTTTTTTTTTAAAGCATTTTCTAAGACGATGCTTACGTTGTTCTTTCTTTTCCTCCAATCATAAAGGTGTTTTCTCCTTTAGAATTGCAAAAGTGTATTTCATTTCGTTTGACATCTTGATATTAATTTAGCTGAGTACTTATGAACATTTTTTGTTATAATCCCCTTGTTCTATGAAATCCAATATGTTCCTGTGTTTCCTATATTTCTGCCTCAAATTACCATTAAAATAAGCCTTTGTTGTCAGTATCCCTTACTGAATTTTGTGGTCCTAAAAAGATGAATTGTTTTAAGTCCTTTACTCATTCTCTTTGTCTACTTTAGATTCATTAATTATTTTGTTATAGAACTTCTGAATCCAAAGTAGGTGAACCTGTTGAGGAGCTTTTCTGTTTTGTTTTTTTAGAACTGCTGCTTTCATAGTAGTAATGTCATAGATAATATTAATACTGTAAGAACCAAAAGGTGGCCTCCTTTCTTCCTTAAGTATTTGGTGGAGGAATTGACATACTCTGGGAGGTAGTCTTATGTTTCTTTTGGCTACCAACCTAATTTACTGTCATACATAATTAGCATGGTAGTCAGAAGAAACTCTTAATCTAACCTCCACCCTAACATTAAGCAATTATTTTTTCCTCACCTCTACCCTCTGAGATTATTTTGGTTTCCATGTTTTCTCTTGGGCTTAAAAACTATTATTCTTGTTCCTTCCCATATCAAGACTATGCATACATAGAGGGAGATTGATGCCCAATAACACTATATTTTTTTCTGGGTCCCGGGAAAGCCCTCGGTAACAGAATATAAAAATCACTCTGACCTCAATTAACTTTATATTTCCCAGAAGATCTGGTCATGATTTTCA